GTTTGGCCGGCTCAAACGCATCAATTATTTTCGCCATTGAGCGGCTAGGCACTTAAAATTGCGAACACACACATTCAGGCACATAAATACGAAAGCAAAAGGTTTATAGTGAACCAAAAGTCAGTTATGTAATAACAAATATTTTGCAGGTACTAAGTTGAACAGGCGAGTCCAGCATTTAGTGCAGTCACGAAAAGCTTAAAATTATTAAAAAATCATTAAAAGGTGTTCACACATACCAACACACACTCAGACGCTTATCTGCACCGGCAACGAAATTGAAAAGCCAACTGTGGCATCGTCAGCTAGAGAAACGCACACACACTTGCAAACACACACAGAGCTCTGAGTATGGGTAAAATGGTCATGCCAGTCAAACCAAATGTGGCTGGGGAAGGTCAGTTTTTACTATTTTAGTTCGTCGAGATTGTCAAGGTCGATTCTAAAATTAAACTATTTCAATTGTAGATTACACGGATATGCATAGCACATACATGCACACACTCATACACAATTGTAAATTGTAATTGCTTCGGGTCATAAAATCTGTAAGCTACGGATGTAGTCAACGCCACCAGTGCAGGTAGGTGTGTATGTACATATGTAAAAAAGTTGAGTTCGGTTGCAATCGCTTCAAGTGGAAATGATTACAGTTACAGCATCTGCATTTTTGTGTGTTCATATGTGTGTTTATATTACTTTATCTTCGTAATCTTCGCCAGCTTTCGCTTTCGAAATTTCATTGCAGCAATTTTAATTGAATTTTGGCACTGCAGGGGCGCGTTTGCATTTATATTTTTAAATGAAAAAACATTTTATATAATTTAAGAACTTTTTCCAATTTGATTTCAATTAATTTTCAATATTTCTGTAAAATAATTTCATGGAATTTCAAAGAAATACAGAGGATAACGTTACACATAGAAATCTGGGACGATGAAAGAAGGTCTGTTGATGTGTAGTTAAAGAGAATGGAAGGAGACGGAGAGATGAAGCTATATCAAAAGCAAGAGAATGTTCAAATTTGAACTGTGTTTTTAAAAATGTGTGTATTTTAATATTTGATAGATGCTATCTATATGACGCCTTCATTGTGTTTGATATATAAAGAACAGAATTTCAAAATTAAGAGCGTTTACCTATCAGCGGAAAAACTTCGATGACGAAACAGTGTTCTAGACAAGAAAACACGTCGTAAATTAAATAAGAATTGCTCAATATTTCGTTTCGTTTTGCTTTGCTCCCATTTACGTAAAAAAAAGCATATATCGAGCTTATTTGTCAAAGCGAATATCTGAAGCAAAATGAAGGCAAAGTTGTATGTGAATGAAGCTTTAGATGTTAACAGAGTCTCTAACTTAATGTGCTCTCTAAGGAAGGGAAAGAAGACAAATTTGCATATACTAAACTCTATATATAAATATGTATCCATATAACCGTAATAAAAATCGGCTCTAGTTTTATTATTGTTTAAGGCATCCTAGAAGCGCTATCGATAGCATGAGAGCGGGTCGGTGATCCCGTATCCCCTTGCGTTCTACTGCTAGACTGGCGCACCATTGGTACATACGCTGTCGCAAAATCCTTTTTGAACGACGATCGGTCGCAAAAGGTCTAGTAATCTTTTCGCACACGGTTAGGCTAGCCTCTCTCTAGTTTAGGGCCTTTTAACAGATCATTGCCTTTTTAGCTTCCACGCTATGTGGTTCTGAACCTTATCAGATTCAATCTTCAGAAGCTATATAAAAGAAAATGAGATGGAAACAACTGAACACTTCCTTCTTGACTGTCCGCGTTTGTGCGGTCAAGGCTTAAACACTTGGGAGCAGACATCCTACCGAATTGAAGAGAGTGGAAATTAAACACCTAATATATAACTTCGTACACAGGAGTTCTTACTTTCTATAGCTTCACAAAAGACTACATATAGTTCCTTCATACAGTCCACTAGCTATATTTAATCAGCCATCTAACCTTACCTTTATAAGTTTAGTATTACAACTAATTTTCGTGATCAATGGCTTGAAGAAGCTCGGAATACGCTGAATGTTAAAAAAGGCTTTGGAGACAAAAATATAATATAAAAGTGATCTTTGAAAATCAAACAAGAAGCTAATCGCAATATTTCGCATTCCTAAATTATTAAGGATTTAGATTCACTTGTGAAAAATCGCCGAAACAGCTAAACGGATCGATTTGAAATTTTCACACGATCTTCTCAGATATATTTGATAATGATGGGAGGAATCAAATTTTTTATAACAATTCCAATTGTTGAAGCCAGTTTGAAATGTCAATTTTATTACAAAGAATTACCTTTTGGAAAACCGCCATGTTGTCGCAAGTAAAACTTCGACTAATTCTTATATTATTATTTATATATACATATATTGTGACAAAAAAAGTATATTAATTGTAAAACGAAAAATATTCAATTATTCAGAAATATTTATTTTGTCGCCTTCAATGTAAGCTCCACCAGATATAATACACTTATGTCAATGATTTCACCAGTTCTCGAAACACTTTTCATAAACACTTTTTGGGATAGCTTTCAGCTCCTGTAACGAACTTTGTTTTATCTCTTCGATCGATTGAAAACGGGTTTGGGAAAAAAATAAAATCACACGTAGCCAAGTCTGGTGGATATGACGGTCTTCATTGCGTTCTTGACTTTAACTTCGGTCACAATCGTACAATTTTTGAGAAGAGCACGTACACGTTTCATGCTCAAAATATACATCAAAATCATTCGAACAGACTAACGAGAGATGTCGAGCTCTCTTGCCATCTTTCTAACACTCGCCTGACGATTTTAAGTCTCCATATCCTTTACTTTTACTTTACTTTTTACTTTTCACTAATTAAGGACAGCCCCACCAACTTACGTTACAGTCAGAAAATATGTTTTTCGGCTTGCACAATCAAAGAAAACGATGGCGAAAATGCTTCCTTTACTACTTTATTTCTTAACTCCTTTCATCTCTCAACCACTGAGGTCTATTGATCCTATTGATCTTATAAACACCATATTAAAATTTCAAGTGATTCGGCTGGATATTTTTTTTTTTTTTCATCAACGGCACGCCGAAAAAAGTAGTTTTGAGATAACTACGTACAAAGCATCCATTCATCGAGTCCCTCGACCGGGCGCTACAAAAATTTTACAGTATTTTCTTAAAGAACTATACTTTCGAACCATTAAAATCGATTTTTGGAAAATTCTAGACCACCTTGACGACCCGTCATGTTCAAAAGTATATATATATATACACAACAATTCACATTTATAATTGAAGTGGCTTTCATTGCAGCAGAAGTTAATAGGAGTATTACATATTTTTTACACCGCTTGCATATTTACATATTTTTTAAAATTATTAAGAAAATTTTTATACAAATATTTTAATTTGTGAAAATCTAGTATTCAAATAAATTAATAATCTGTTGATACAAGCAAATTACCAAAAATAAAATGTACTTTTTAATTTTTATACAAATATTTTTGTTTAAAAAAATCTTATAATGACAAATAAAAAAAACCGTCTGTATTGATACAAGCACATTCTCTTCTGTCTGGTTTTACTTTGTCAACTGCAATTAAAATATTTCCTTTGTGCTAACCAACGAGCGTAATGGGTTTTAATTTCGCAATTTTCATTGAGTTAAATTCTTTCGCCAAAGGCAAATCGAATCAATATTTACACGCTACTCAAAAACTCCCAACAAAGCATGCGAAATATTTTTACAACGGAATGTCGCATGAACATGAACAAAGTGTGCACAACAAACAACAATACATGTAAATGTGCAGGTAGGGGCGTGTTTACAAACGTTGGGGTTACAATGTGAAATGTTCCAGCCATACGCGTGTCAACAGGTGAATGGTGACGGTGGACAAAATTTTATTGGCTGGCTGGCGGGCGCAAACACAATCGGATGTGCGTTTTAATGAAGGCATTTTTATGGAAAAAAAGATCAAAATAAAAAAATAAAGCAAGCAAACGAAGCAGGCGCAAAACTGCCAAAAATCCTATAGACACTCACTGTGTCTGATGACTCGAAAAGCAGAGGCTTTTCGAATTTGCTCACAGTGTCCGGAACAAAGCATAACATGAAAAATCCCGCTTAAGCGCATAAAAGTATGCAATATTTTTGGTACTCACACACGCTTACGCACTTTTAGAGCAAAAATCATCAAGTTTTCAATGAGTATGTGAAATATTGCACTGTGGGGAGTAAGCAGTGTCAGCTGCCGTACATATTGAACGGTTGAGCGCCTGCAGGGATGCAAACATTTTGTGAAAATCTCTTAGCAACCACAGTGGGGCTACTCTGGAAAAGGTCGCATTTTAAATGGATATTCGTGCATATATGTACATATGTGTGCATGTATGTATGTATGTCAACTATGTAAACTTTCGTCAGTTATGTTCACATTGTCGTAATGCCAATAAATCGAGGCTTTGTCGAAAATTAGCAAATTATTTATATTAAATTTGCTTTCAAAAAAGCTCTCCAATATATTTTATACCGTAAAACTGATTTTTTACTGATATGAATTTGATAACGATCTTAGTCAACTACTAGAACTGCGATCGTCGAGTAAATACATTTTCCCATAAGTATTTCACCCCAATCTTCATATTCTTATAAGATTTGAAATTTTTATTTTATCCGATGACTTGTTTGTGCATTTGAGTGTGTCTGTTGTATCTTTTTACATTTCCTGCCATACTCGTATATAAAGTACGAAGCTCCTTCTAGTACCTTCGTTATCCTTTTCAACACTTTTAACATGGGTATCTATCAATCAACTGGGAAACGACAGTTTATATTAAAAAGATGCATACCATTCAGATTCTGATAATTAATAAATATTATTATTTGAGTTTTCTCTATAAAATTTCAGGTTATGTATTCTCCATCATTAAGCACAAATACACTTTGAGCTAATTGATTATTAATAACTTGGCATACTACTTGACTTAGAAACTCACCGGTAATTTTTAAGCGTCTTTACAATAAATCCTTTCCAATCTGCAATAGAAAAATTTAAATGAGATAATAATTAACCACTTATATGAAAAAGATACTAAAAATTGATGTAGATATATTTTTAAGATTTGTTAAAAAAATGTGTGTATCTTTACCCCGCAGAGACCACAGTATTCAGACACTTTCATTGATATTAAACCAATTTAGTTCACAACCAAGAATGCTATCAAACTTTTTGCCATAACTTTTGCTATAAAAATTTTTAATTATAGGAAAACAAACATAATATAGTTGTCTGTCCCCGAAAGCTGCTCTCATACTCAGAGAAACTAAGTTCTTAATCACTCCAAAATATTTATTTTGCCAGGTCGCCGTGCCTAGCCATTAATGTAACTTCTCTGCTCATATACTTTCTTGGGAGGAAGGAAGAACCCGCTGGGAAAAAGAGGCTATGAGCTTTTTTAAGGATGAATCAATGCTTGCGGTGGGGACTAATAGAGAAGTACTTTATTTGGAACTTTCCATCAGCTCCAATTTTAGACTTACTGACCGCTGCAGCGTTTTTCAAGCGAAGCTAGCTGCTATAAAGCTAACAGTAGATCTACTGCTTTAAATAAAGGACGCCTGGCGCTATGTTGTAAACTCGTCGAAGAAAGAAGAATAAAGGGATCCACTGTTTCAGACCACATAGTAAGGCAGCAATTAGCCCTCAGGAGGCAAACTATGCGCTCAGTCTCAGTGCGAGCAGTGAAAGAAAGGATATCTAGACTCCTGATCTCTAGCATCGATATATTTTAAGAACAGACGGGTTTGGGTGTTTGGCCACAGCAGAATTGCAAGCAACTGTAAGGCTGAGAAGCTTGATAGTCACACGACTCTGAATTACAGCGGAATGCGAACAAGTAGGAGCTCTGTTGGCATCTTGTGATTCACTACTGGACTGTTGGGCTTCAGACCAGCTCAGCAAGGTTTGGTCAACTAATAGCAAAAGTGCAGTCACAAGTTTCTTCTGATCTAGGATATATTGCAGGATGGTTGTAGCAGTTCTAACTGGACATTGTCCGATCGAGATTAATGCAGTAAGATTAAATATCTTACCGAATGCGAGCTGCATCAGCTGTTTGGAAGAATATGAGATGGAAATATCCAGGACATCCATGTAAATAACGAGAATAATATTAAAACACCTAGCAGCTTTGTGATTGGTTCAGCACATTGCAATAGGCAGGTAGTCTGAAACTGAAGTTGATAGTGAGTTCCTGACAAAGTAGCTCTCCACTGAAAATTTCCCAAAAGTTTTAACATAACTTTGACCCATTCTTCAAAAGGTTTACTGTCACCTCCTCCAACTGCTTCAACATATCTAAAACTACATCGCCGATAAATATGCGGACAGAGAAAAGCTGCTAGAGATTGGCTTGACATCTCCAAGATAGAAAAGATCTGGTATAAAGTCATAGCATTTGCGGATTTCTACTCGTCAATTTGATCACTTTGGTATATGCAACCATATATCTGACGATATATACCGTTATTAGCAACTTTACTGCGTGAGTATAAAAATGATGCCTCTGAATTACATGAAAATATGGATACCTGAGAGATTGAAAAATTGGTGAAAAATTAGGTTAGGTTAGATTAGGCACTGAGTTCTTCGTTTCCGATATCAGGGACCTTGAAAAGTTATAGTCCGATCACGACAATTTTTCCACAAGGGCTACCTCAGCTCAAATACCGTATTTGTGTAAAGTTTTATTCCGCTATCATCACTGGCATCAGATGGAATTCAAAAGAACGTTATATGGGAAGAAGGCGTGGTTGTGAACCGATTTCACCCATATTTCGTACATGTCATCAGGGTGTTAAGAAACTATTATGTAYCGAATTTCATTGAAATCGGTCGAGTACTTCCTGAGATATGGTTTTTGGTCCATAAGTGGGCGACGCCACACCCATTTTCAATTTTTAAAGAAAGCCTGGGTGCAGCTTCTTTCTGACATTTTTTCCGTAAAATTTAGTGTTTCTGACGCTTTTTGTTAGTCGGTTAACGCAATTTTAGTGATTTTCAACATAACCTTTGTATGGGAGGTGGGCGTGGTTATTATTCGATTTCTTCCATTTTTGAACTCTATTTGGAAATGCCTGAATGAAACAATTCTGTAGAGGTTGGTTGACATAGCTATAGTAGTTTCCGAGTTATATACAAAAAACTTAGTAGGGGCGAGGCCACGCCCACTTTTCCAAAAAAAATTGCGTCCAAATATGCCCCTCCCTAATGCAATCCTTTGTGCCAAACTTCACTTTAATATCTATATTTATGGCTTAGTTATACACTTTATAGGTTTTCGGTTGTCGCCATTTTGTGGAGGTGACAGTGGGCCGATGTTTCCCATCTTCGACCATAACCTTCTTATGGAGCCAAGAAATACGTGTACCAAGTCTCATCACGATATCTCAAGTTTAACTCAAGTTATAGCGGACGGACGGACGGACATCCGGATTTCAACTCTACTGGTCACCCTGATCACTTTGGTATATATAACCCTATATCTGACTCTTTTAGTTTTAGGACTTACAAATAACCGCTATGTGAACAAAAGTATAATACTCTCCTTAGCAACTTTGTTGCGAGAGTATAAAAAGGTTATTTAATTTTTCTAAAAGTAATAAATGTGGCAACACTATCAGCATCATTTTCCAGCATAAATATTATGAAAAATATTCAAAATGACCGAAATAAGTTTGAAGTACCCACCCTAATTAGGCATTTAGCCCTAATTATCTTGCTTCACCTTGGCGCTTGTTTTCCTCTGAAGTGCGCTTTACTCAAAAATTTTGCTGCCGCAAAATGAGAAATGAAGATTAAAATAAATGCCAATGGCGAAAAACAAAAACCACAAAAATATTAAATCAAAACAAAGCTCAAATAAGCAGTCTCTACTAAGCGCTGTGCCAGCCACAAAGCCTGCAGTGTATATGCGTGCATGTGTGTGTACGTGTAAATTTGTTTGCTTATGGGACGGACGAATTTTCTCAGGCTATTATTAACGTGAATGTAACAGAAAATTGGAGTGTAGCAGCTTCAGAAGACTTTGGGGCGAAATGCTTCTACATTTGCTGTGAATTGAAATGGTATTTGCGCTTTGCCCTTCACCAGAGCAACAAACACACACCCACTTATATATATATTTATAAAAGAATCTATGCCTATATATGTAGATATACATATATATACACATTTATATTTATATATATGTACACACATATAAGTAATTGCTTTGTGCCATCATACGTTTTCGTCTTGGTTCATTGGCACAGCTCGTCCGATTTAGTGCAGCTTTTGTTTTGCTACTTTTCGCTTGAAAATGGTTTTGTTTGCATTTTATTCTTCACTATTTGTTTCTTTTTCCTGCTTTTCGCAATAATTATGGCTTTCGTGCTTTTTCTTTTGCATCGATCGCTTCATTTCGCCACCGCCACATTGTTGCTGCTGTTGTTGCTCATCTGCCCCCAAAAATTTACAATCGCGTCTAATTAATCGGCTCGTTTTATTGTACTGACTGAGCGAAAAGCGATTGTCCCATGGTAATTGCTTCGTCGCAGGCCAACAAACGTTCTACTGTTACGAGCGTTTTTCTTGTTGTTCCGCACTTTTTTCTCCCGGCTGAGATACACTCGTTCAATACAGTACAATTACCAGCTGCCATGAGATACTCGAGGCGTGCTTTGTTAACGAAAATGGTCGAAGGTAAATATTGAAGAAGTGGAGTGTAACAAATGCCTGCTGATGCGTTCAATGCTAGAATGGGGCCAAACGATTTGCTCTGCGGCAAAGCCACTGAAGGAAGCGCAGAACAGAGCCGGTGAGATGGTTTTGTTTCTTTTGGGTAAAAGTAAAAGTAAAAGCATGTTTTTGATTGTTAGGTTTTGAGTTGGTGAAAAATGGTTTGTGGTATTATCGCTTTGCAATTCGAAAGTGGCTTAAATTGGCAATATGAAATACCTCGCAATCAGAGGAGAGCTTTTTCTAGGAAATGCTTTTAAAAATAATTTTTTTTTATTTGTTGATATTTTTATTTACCTAAATACCAGGAAGTGTTCTGAAAAGTATTGAGCCAAATTAGGAGGTAATCCGTAAATAAATACCTTGAAATAGTAAATATGTATATCGGACAATCTTAAGAAATATTTGAAATTATTTTTTAACTTCTGTTAAGCAAAAAATATAAATTCTCATAGAAGAAGTTTCACCCGCTTAGCCAACTAAACCAGAAAATCATCATGATTCCAACATTGAATGATCACATATAGCTTGTTTTGGGGGTCCAAGGGTTTACGGGTTTCAAAGAATTATTTTTATTGCCGTATTAAATTCTATAACACCTTCAGAATATTGTCCTAGTTCTCAAGTTGAGCCAGTAATAGTTTCAGAGATACAGCCTTGATAACTTGTGCGCTCGAAGCTAGCTAGGCTAAGTGCGCCGTTTTCAAACGCGTTTTTCTCGAAACTGTGCTTTTTAAGTCGATTGGCAAGATTTCTCGAGAACTACTCATCCGATCTTCATGAAAATTTGCACAACTCTTTGAGACGATACAATTCTTTAAGATTTGGATGAAATTTTTTTTCGATTACAAATATTATATTTGAAAAACAAAAAAATTTTCATTTTTTTGTAAAAGTGTCTGCCAAAAATCCAATTTCCAGTTTATTTCGTTTCGTTCAAGTTTTATATCAAGGTTTTAACTTAAAGACGTATTTTTTCACTTTAGATGATCCTATAAGGAGTTATCCTGCCAACGCGAGCTTCATCTTTTTTCCGAGGTGTCACAGGAAATGGCGGCGCTATGACCTAGTCTAAAATATTTTTGTCCAAAAATTTCAGGATTTCTTTGTTAATAGTGTATGTTTGTAACAATAAAAAAGACTTATAAAATATTTCATTTCTTACATGAGAAAAGAAATGTTAAATTCTTGAAGAAGAAGTTTTGCCTATATTGGTCTCAAGAATGATGTGTCTTGTTGTAGTTCAGCTTTTCGAAAC